GATAATCATGTTGGGTTTATGCCAGGAAGTCAAACAAGTTTGGTATTAGAAAGTCTGTAAGTGTCATTCACTGCATTAATATATTAATGGAGAAAAATCATGTGATTGTCAATAAGTAAAAGCATTTGATGAAATTCAGCACAAACTGGTGATTAAAAGCTTAGTGAAAGGAGGAGTAAGAACAGAGATGATTGATATCATTGTGTCATGAAAGAGGAACAGAAGCAGGAGTAGTGGACCTGCTGATTGCTAAGACCCTCAGGACCCTGGAAAGGACAGGAAGGAAAGCAAGTAATGAAGGGAGGCATACATAAGCACGTTCAGCTCTGGTAACCCCTTCAGACACTTTCTTTTAACCTTTCTCAAGCTACCATCCAATATGATCGTCTCATAACTTGTCCTTTGGCTTATAGGTCAGCCCTGAGCTGCTTGGATGACAGGGAATTACCTTGGGTGTGAGTTGTCCAGGCCTTGCTTTGAGTGATGTTCATGTTTGTATAAATATTTTGGGCTGGTTGGGGGAAGTTTTAGCCAAGGAAGCTATCAGTAGCCAGGGAGTCAGATTTGTAAAGAATAAAATTATTTCTATATAATAAGCTTGGTGTTCAGGTTCTGAGGCCTCTCTCCTCTGTACACTGAACACTCATGGATTTCACAGGGAACCCCAGCCGTGCAGAGGTAGTAAGGTGAAGGAAATGGACTCATCATCTTGGAATTCGGTGGTAAAGCCCGAGGCCCTCCCAAAGCCCAGCACAGTCTCCTGCCTGGTGGAGGCATGTAGTGTTCTGACGGACAGCACATACCTCCCTGGAGAACCCGCTCCACAGGATTTTCTCCTCATTGATGAAGAGCCTTTCTCCTTTCTTGGCATAAACGTTGTAATATCCGACTTCCTTAAACACTATGGAACCATCCTCTGGGGAGAGGTGCCAGTTGATAATGGAATAGTTCCCCACCAAGTCGCCACATTCATCAAAAGTCACCTGCTCCCCCATATTGTTGGTAAAGTTTAGGTGCCGTAGGTGCTTCAGGACCTAAAGAGGAACAGAGATGAATATGCTGAGTATAACTCACAGGGCTGCCTTGTATGGTTATATGGGTTGTGAACTGCACAAGGACAGTAAATGATCTTGTTCTAACAAAGTGGAAGGAGCATGGAAGAAGCTCCTTTTTCTAATCTACACTGAGGTACTTGCATGTATTAGTGGCAGCCTTGGAAAGCCATGAGCTTACTTGGTACTCAAATTGTAACTGGGGTAGGAAACACTTCCTTGAAGTCATGAAAGGAAAATGGGTACATCTCACCGTAGCCATTGGCCAAATCCAGGCTCCTGCAGGTGCCCCATCACCTGGTGGTGATGGGTCAGGGTTTGTAAGCCAGAGCCATGCTTTCATCTTCTGAGATGGGCTTTGGGGAAGGAATTGAGGCACTAAGTGCTCTTATAATCTGCGCCATCTTTACCTCTGCTACTGCTTCTGTGGAAGTATCTTGCTGCCAAAAATCACAGAGGTGGTGGAAGGAAGAAAGAAATGAGGTTGTGGGTGGGGCCCTGGCCATCACTGTGATAATAGTCATGGCCAATCCTTTTTACTGGGTTTTATGGGCCACAGAGTCCTTGCACAAAAAAGTCATGATAATAACTACTAAACCTTATTAGTCCTTTTACTACCTTGGGGGCACAGTGCTATATACTTTATATTCATTATATAATTCTCACAACAAATAGTGTAACTCCCATTTTATTGATGGGGAAACCGAGGCACAGAAAACCGAAGTGTCTTGTCTGGAGTCACACAGTTAGCAAGTGGTGCAAAGTCTGAGCTCTTAATGGCTATATTCTGTTGCGGCTCCATTAGGCTCCAGGCCCTGCTTCCTGCAGGCCCCTGGTGTGGGTCCGGAGGCGGTGAGCACTGGGAAGCCCATCTTTCATGTGGGATGTGCCAGGGTTCACTGAGGCCCTGGGAAGGAGTAAGACCTGGTCCAGACTGTGAATTAGGGGCACTCACTTCCTGTGCACCTCATGAGTCACCAGGTTGTATCATTCTCCAGCTCTGAGCGTGTTTCTTCACCTGCAAAGAGAGTGCTAGGCCTGAGGCTGCAGGGTCTCCCTAAGTCTAGTACGGACTTCTCTGTTCTGTGGTTTGGTGGCCCCAGAAGTACACTTAGAGCCATCCCTCTCTTTTATCATTTTTAAAACCTGCATCTCCCTTAAAAAAAACCCAATATCTAATCTGACACTGGGGAAGAGTTTGGGTTGAGTCCGTCTAATGGATGGTCTTACTGAGACACCTGTTACACATTAATCTCATGTGCATGACAGGCTGAGCTGGCTAAGCTAGAGCCCTGAGGGCACCATTCATGTTCCACTCCACTCCGGAGAGGACGCTGCTTTTTAACTTTTTAAATTTATGCCTGTATCTATTTTAAAATAAAAACTTATTCTAAGGAAAATTATAGAGGTAAAAGGAGTCACCTAAATCTGCTCATAAACAGCTCTGGGATGGGTCTGGGGACAGTCGATGGCAGACCATGTGTGCACACAGGCACGCCATCCTGGTACCTCCCCTGACCTGACATGTGCGGTTTACCCCTTTAGTGTCCTCACTGCTACCTTAGCAGACTCCGGCTGCCCTGCCTTCTGTCCCAGGCCTGTGGGGGAAGGGAGTCCTCACTCCTTGCTACCTGGTTCTTCTGTTCTGCAACCAGAGTTGCTGAGCTTTCCTCAAAAAAGATGGAGAATTAATTCTACTATGCCATGAGCTTACTTGGTACTTAGATTGTAACTGGGGTAGAAAACACTTCCTTGAAGTCATGAGAGGAAAGTGGGTACATCTCTCCAAGGTCACTGGCCAAATCCAGGCTCCTGCAGGTGTGCCATCACCTGATGGCTCAAGGTTTATAAGCCAGAGCCATTCTTTCATCTTCTGAGATGGGCTTTGGGGAAGGAGTGGAGGCACTGAGCGCTCTCAGAATCTGTGTGGTCTTTCCCTCTCAGCCTTCTTTGACGGTCATCAACCTTACTTTTTTCCCCCTAATTTTTACTGAGCCCTTAAAGCAGTCTGCAGAGAGGAGGTGCCCAGAAACCTTCCTTTCTTGAACCTTCAACTTTTCTTTTTTCTCTTTCATCTTGGTGTGGCCTGACCACCTCCTATATAGAGTAGTGGACTCCCTTTTGTCTACCCCAACACACCCCTTCCTGACACATTTTTCTCCTCTTAGAGGAGCACACAGTCCTCCTGCTCTGTGAGGCTGACTCCCTCCACAGCACTCAGAGCCCCATTCCTCCCACCCACGCTGGAACCTCTCTGACGTGGTCACTCCGCCCTTCTCCATTTCATGATCATGTCCCTTACACGTCCTGCTGGGGACCGCTCATGACTCAGATTAGCTATGCTTCAGGCTTCCGCAGGTAGCTTCCAAAGCCTTCCACCCTTCAGTCATACGTACCTACCAGTACTTGTCGGTGCAGATATTTTATCCTAATCATACAGTTTCCACTGCCCTTTTCAGAGTCATGCTGACTCTTGTCTTCACTCTGATGTGTCAAGGAGATGAGAAGAGTGAAGAGGTGGGGGATTCCCTCTTATTTACACTTCCTGTGTGCCAGACATTGTACTAATGCTTTACACACGCTATGTCATTTAATCCTCACAACAACTCTGTGGATAGGGTCTATAACTATCTTCATTTTATACAAGAGGAACTTGAGGCATTGAGAGGTAAAGAAACTTGCCAAAATCATAAACTATCCCACACTGCCTCCAATATAAATTATCAAATGTCCATGGTTTTGTCAATAATATTTCCTTATTAAATATATTCTTAAAAAGCATCACTCTTATTCGAAGAATACTTTAGCTTATGAAGTAGTAAGGTTAGAGTAGTTAGTGTCAATTTCCTTTCTTCTATTCAGGTTTCAGTTCCTTGGCTTTTAATACGCTAGGCAATAACCTCCCTCTTTCCTTTTCTCTGTCCATGGCTTCTCTGCAGTGAAACTCTCCAGGTAACAGTGGGTGAATAGAGAGGAAAACCGGAATAAGATAATATCATAATGAAAAGGTCATCTTCCACATTGGTCAGCCTGGACAGAAAAGTGACTCAGAAGTCATCACTGGCTATAATTCTTCTGCATTGATGTTGGCAGGGGCTGGAGATTCCTACCATAATCCTAACTTGAAAGAAGAAGGAACCAATCAAAAATCATTTTCTTTAAGTTCCCATTAAAAAACTCATTGTAAATACAAGGTTAGATTTGTATACTGTTAGAATCAATCAACAAACAAATATTTATGGAATATCCACTACATGTTCTGAACTGGACTGCAGTAGTACAAGATATAATAATATAATCTTCACAGAGTTTACATATGGATTAGGGTGACAGATATGTCATAAATATTGGATGAAATAACAAACAATGGAAATCAAAATATAGTTAAGGGCTAACTTATAGGGTATCAACTCTGAGCACAGAGAAATTCACAGGAGATGGAGATTAAAAAGGGCTGAATAGTAAATGAAGATATCAGTCTGAGGATAAATTAGAAAAATAAGGTCAATGTGGTATTAATATTAGTTAAAAGAGCAAGTAGGCAGAAAAATCAATAAAGATATGAAAGTCTTGAATGACACTATCAATCAACTTAACATAATTAACATTTATAGAACTCTCAGCCCAATAACAGTAGAATACACCTTCTTTTCAAGAGCACACAGTATATTTTGCCAAGGTAAACCGTACCCCAGCTCATAAAGCAGGTTTCAATAAATTTTAAAATATTCAAAACAAAGTATGTTCTTTGACTCTACTGAAATTAAATTAGAAATCAATAACAGAAAGATATATGGAAGCTCTCCAGATACTTGGAAACAAAGTAACACACTTCTAAATAACCTGTGTTAATGAAGAAATGAGAAGGAAAATTAGGTTGCATTTTGAACTGAATGAAAATGAAAACATAATATATCAAAATTTGAGGGATGCAACTAAAAATTTAGAGGGAAATTTATGGCACTAAATGCCTATATTAGAAGAGAAGAATGGTCTCAAATCAATGACCTCAGTTTCCAAGTTAAGAAACTAGAAAAAGAAGAGCATTTTAGAATAAAACCAAAGAAAGGAAGTAATAAAGATCAGAACAGAAATCAATGGACTAGAAAACAGAAAAATAATAAAGAAAATGACTAAAACAAAAAGTCAGTTCTTTGGGAAGATTTTAAGAGTATAAAGAGGATTACTGAGACATAAAGATCTAGAAACCATCACATTTTAAATTATCCTTATTTTTAAAATGGACACAGGCTGCTAAAATCTTTATTAGGAACAATTAGCCTAATATGTACTTATGAATATGCCTAACAGAAGAAAACTATTTTTTAAAATCTATTTTGGCTTCTTTTATTTAAAAAGAAGGAAAGGCTTATCCTTCATGCAGTTAGTCTGAATTAATTTATGAAGTCAGAAATACTGTGGTTTTATTGTATGAGTGTTTTCTGCAGACTTCTCTTGATACCACTTAGCTTCTCTCTTATTTGTGCCTGTATCCATGTACTGTCTTACTGTCATCCACTTGACCCCTGTCTTCTCTCACTATTTACCTTTGTCTCATTGTCTTCCTTTAGGTGTTTGCTCATTCAACAAGTATTCACCAAGTAACTAACAAGGGCCAAGCAGGCACTTCTTAGGGACAAGAGGTATGACAGCATTCCAGACAGACAGAGAGATGTTGTTCATCATGCTCTGACTTGGTTAGTTGTGTCCACTCTCACCTCTTCTTTATGTCTATGTATGAACCACAGTTTCAGGACAACTGGTTTCCTCTGGTGGACACCTGGGTTTAAAGCTATGGACCAGTGTCTCCTCTATGAAGCCACTGACTGACCTGGCAAGCATGTTTCCAGAGAAACAAATGTTTCTTCTCATCAGGGAAACAGACCACCTGGGGCAGATGTGGGCTTTCTTGCTGGTTGATATATAACTTCAGGAGAATCATTTTGGCTTCTCTGGGTCTAAATTTCCTCACCTACAAAAGC